GGTCTGGATTAGAGCCTGGACTCTCTCCCTTGTGCATTTCCACCTCTAACCTGTGTGATGGAAATGAATCCTCTGGAGCCGGAAGGTGGTACAGAAGTAAAACGTCATTCTCTGTGAGGCCGACCCACGTGGGAAGGTTCTGGGTCCTCACCCAGAGACCTCCCTGAGTATGCCAGGCATGGATGCACCCATGGTCCAGGGCTTGCTGAAGCTGGGGGCGGACTGTAGTGTGAGGATTCTGTTGGGGTGTTGATGCTCTCTTGCTATAGAAGAGGAACATTTAAAATTCCATTCCCAAGACTGCTTTTATTCTGATTTTGGTTATCATTAGTTGGGTGGGTACTTTTTTCTTTTTTAGTTTGCTATAGGGCATGTGTGCTCACTAGAAAGAGAGAGAGAGAAAAAGAGAGAGAGCATCCGCTGGTGGCAGAGAGGTGGGCTGTCCATGCCACAATCCCTTCTCCTACATTCTCCTCTCTGGATTTTGGGGCATGCACACACACACACACACACACACACACGCCACTGGTCTATCTTTCAAGCTGCTCGTCTGGAACTGTGCAGTTGGCCATTAGGGAAATAGCTGCCTTAACCTCCACGCCCCCTGCTGGTCGGCGTTGGTACTTTGAAAAATGGAGCTAGAGCTTCCAGGGGAACAGGGCAACGAGAAATGAAAGAGTAACGAAGGCGTTTATGAATAAAGCACACCACTTTATTCACCGAGCTGTGAGTACAACAGCGCTGCAGAGGCTAGTGGCTCGGGGGCGCAGTGAGTGCTGCTGGCGACAGGAGCATGGAGCAGGTCGGGCCATAAAGCGCAGCAGCGTGGAGACCGGCAGGCCACCTCCTCCTCTGCATACAAGCAAGTGGTACTCAGGGCGAGACAGACACCCACTTGATTCATAGGGAACACAACACGGCGTTTCAAAAGAAGTCTCTTCTAAATACTTGCTTTCATATTTCTGGAAGGGGAGGGCGGGTGAGAAGAACTGAATGCTCTCCAACATTTGGGGAAAAAAAAATCGTAAACCCAACGTAACATGAAAGAAGTGCAAGAGTTTCAACACAGCGTCCTCAGTAACTCACAGAAACCACACACATTTATTACTGGACAGGTCCTTACATACAACCCCAAAGACATCAATTTCACAAACAGTTGTTTCCTCTTCCACAAGGTAAAGAAACGTGATACTTCATCAGTGAGTGGCTTGCGACCTTCCTGAATGGCAATCATACGGCATTGTCTCATTGTCCCCTTTGACCTTTGGTCAATGGATTCGGGAAGTGACTCATGGGAACTTCACACTTGAGAGACAGACTTCTGGGAAGGATTTCATTTAATGATAGCAACTGCCACTCAGTGACACTATGCTTCAGAAAATGCTGGATTCAGTTTTACTGTGTACACAGTGTTTAGGAAATGTCTTTCAGCTTCAGCTGGCCACCTCCCCCCTTCTTCTTGAGTTTCGAGTAAACTTGTCCAAGTAAGAACACAGCAGTCCATACGCACACCCACCAGTCACCCTGCCCCACTGCTTCCTGCGGGACCAGAGGAAAGACTGACTTCTTTAAAAAAAGCTGAAGGAGAGGTTTTTCTTTCTCCCCTCACAAGGTAGTCGGGTAGATCTTTTAATGAACATCATCGCTATGACAGAGTGGCGCTGCAGGTCTCAGGCCCTAAGAAACCTCTTTTTCTGAATAAAACATTCTTCAAAAGGGAGTGGTAAAGCGTGCGTTTTTAGGGCCTATGGACAATTTGTTTATGAAAAAAAAAATTTTAAAAAGGAATCAAATCAAGGCTGGCATAGGAAGTTCAGGTTAAAGAGCTATCCGAAATACAGAATTTATAAAACTGAGCTTGTCTCAGAGGAAAGAAGAGGATGCATGAAACAGCTTTCATGTTTCCTTCCACGGTCGTCCATGACAGTCAGAAAAAGGGCGGTGGGAGCTTCCGGCCTGGAGTGCCCGTCTGCCGCTTCCACACGCCGGACAACACGAACACCACGTTTGCTTTAAATAGCTTTTAGAAAGACGTATCTAATCAAAAGTGGTTAATCTGAATGTTTTTAAAACCTGCAAAAGCATATACACTTTATATAATCATCTTAGGAGCAATTATTAGAAAAAGGTGTTTGTTTCTTTCAAAGTGTAAAGAATGAGGTGACAGTTTTAGAAACACGACCAGCCAGACTTCTCTCGTTGGAGTTGACTGATACACCTGACTGGGACAAAGAGGATGAGAGATGATGAAAAGAACTGCTCCAGCCTCCCCCTCAGAAGAGGAAAATTGAACTTGGAGAAAACAGAATTAGGGGGTTGGTGGGATGAGACTAGAGAACATGAGAGATAGAAAATTACCTCCCCCCTTTTTGCACCTTGTTACTGATTATTAACTGTAATTTTTCTCTCTGAGGTTTTAGAGAACAGGCAGTTTATATTTAGTTATTGAAGAAGTCATATGAAGAATATTTGTTGGGGACCAGCAGTTAGCATAATGGCTATGTTGCTGGACTCCTGTGTAGTTGAATGGAGATCGAGTCCTGGACCCAGTGGCTTAAACTCATGCCAGGCACGTGTGCGTGTGTGCCCAAGGTCCAGAGAGGAGAATGCAGGAAAAGGAATTGCGGTGTGGTCATCTCCCCTGGCGGATGATTTCTCGCTTTCTGTCTGTCCCTGTCTTTCTGGTGAGTTCATGAGCCCTATAGCAAAAACCTCTCCAAAAAAAGAAAAAAATAATATTTGTTAACAAACCCCAAACCAAAATGTAGCTGCATAGCTAGCTGTACAAGTTTCCAAACGGTCTTCACCTCTCCCAATAAATCGCACAGGAAGACCACGTGACACCTGGATCTTCTTGAAGAAATGATAAAGGAAGCACTGACTCTCATATTAGCACAGAGTCCTCTTTCACTTCATGCCATCGCTGTGCTCTTAAGAGTCCCAAGGAAGTCAAATGCTTGAAAATGTAGCCCTTTATACACGTACCGGGGAAGCATGCCATTATATAACTTTTTCCCTAGAGCAAACAAGCTCCATGAACCTGACTGTGCTAACAAATGGAATTTCCACTTGTCCTGCAAGGCAGGGTTCAAGCAGAGAACACCCAGCTCCTGGGTATTTTGAGGACAAAGCATGCTGAGCCTAGTTTAACAAAACGGATCAGGCTGTATAGCCCATACATTGGATCTGGAGACCTCAGTTGTCCCACGGTTCATCCTTTCAGCTGGGGCCTCACACTGGGGAATGGAAGAGGGAAGCCCACTCTGCACTATGGCTTGCAAGAACCCCTCTGTGCCCCTGCTTGTAAAGATATTTTCTGGCAATGCATTTTTGCATGTATGAAAGCAAGCTTTTTATTTTATTTTTTTCCAAGTTGGATGTGAACTGGATTCAAAAGATTACAAATAAAAAAGCGGGGTTTCATTAGTGGGAGCACGTTTAGGGTTCACTTAACTATCATTACAATCTTAAACCCTTTAGCCCAGGTCTCTGTAACATAAGGAGGGGGTTGTCCCTTTTTTCAACCTAACGTCCCCATTCTAAGACAGGTTCTCTTTATGTAGACCAAGAGATAGGAATTTTAGCAAAATGGCCGGATTGCATCCATGATTCCCAAATGCTTTGACCATTCTTAAAGTGGCATTTGATCTACATGTGCATGGGCGATACTTCATCAACCAATGAAAAGCATGGGGGTGGGGTTATTATCACCATACTGAAAACAAGTCTCTCCACCAGCCAAGTGCTGGTGCCCATTTGGCCACCACAGTTATTAACAGCAATAGGTAGATGGTGGGGATGCAACAAGCTCCCTCCCCCCCGCACTCTGCCAGGGCAGAGCAAGAATTAGGACACACAGGCACTGTGCAGAGGCTATGAGTGCGGGAGAGGGCAGAGAGAGGTGGACAGCTAAAATATGGAATAAGGCAAGAGGCGACTGATTGTGGAGGGACAGAAATGTGAGCGACAGTCTGGCTTCACACCAAGCGTATTGTGAGGACAGTCGTCTGACACTCAGTGCGCAGTCCTCAGAGGGCAGGCAAATTTAGATTCCTTCAGTAAGAATACAGAATACTAAAAGCTAGTTCAGAGTTCTCTACCGCACCCACCGGGCAAATGTGTCACAGGTAAGTCTGCAACACAGGTTCGGAACCTATTCTACTTGCTTTGCACCAGCGGTGTCAGAGTCGCCGCTAAAAATCCTAATACTTGGTGTCAGCAAGAACTTCTGAGCTTTTGTTCTTGGTGGCATATGTAGATAAACCTAAAGGCTTTCTCCTTTAAGCTTTAAAACAGAGCTTAAATTCCTAAGCAGAACTCCAAAGTGTGAGAAAAAACTGTGACTTCACTTTCTGTGTGTGGAGTTGGAGAGATTCTCCCTCAATCAACTCGTGGCAGGATCAGGATATCATGACGTGCATGTTTTGATGAAATTCTAGGCTCCACTTTGAAGCTAACATTGGGATGTGGGAGAACTCTGGGCGGAAGGGAGAAGAGGATGCTCTGACCTTCACACCTGGCCCACCTCTACCTCTGTGGTCTTCGGTCTGACCCTGCCATGAGTCACATCAGCATGTGGAACCCTCTGGATTCTCAGCACCAACACCACCTGCGAAGACAACTATGCTGGGGGTGCAGTTGACCTCGCTCTTGATTTTTGAGTCACGTGCACTTGTGTGAATGTCCTTCAGAAGTGCAGCACAGTGGGACAAACCGTCAAGCAGAAATGAAAAAGCATGCAAACTCACAAAACTACCTGGGTGAGTTTCGCGCACACGCGCACACGCACACACACACACACACACACACTGACACACCATGAATTCAATAGTGCTAGGCAAGAAGGAAAGCTGAAAAGGCCGAATTAAAGCTGTTTGAGACTATCTACTTTGGAGTTGCAGCAATACGAAAGAGAAAAAGGTGCCTTTCCTTAGCCTATTACAGAAAAAGACCTTAAAACAAAATCAGTGTGGGCTTGATATGATTCATAGGATGCCCACACGCGCACACGCACACACACACACACACACACACACACACACCATGAATTCAATAGTGCTAGGCAAGAAGGAAAGCTGAAAAGGCCGAATTAAAGCTGTTTGAGACTATCTACTTTGGAGTTGCAGCAATACGAAAGAGAAAAAGGTGCCTTTCCTTAGCCTATTACAGAAAAAGACCTTAAAACAAAATCAGTGTGGGCTTGATATGATTCATAGGATGCCAGATAGAGAGCAGAGGACACCAAGTGGAAGGCTCTGCATTGACAGGACGCAGAATGTCCTCTCTCACTTTTTTCCAAGAGGGATAAGGCCCTTGGGCAAAAGTCACCTGATAGCATGCGACTGGGCCAATCTGGAGATAGCTCCTATCTTTCCTTTCTTTCCTTTCTTTGCAAAGGTGGAGCCCAGGAGAGCTCCTGTCCACAGAGTCAGCATTAAGCACACTATCTAAAGCAGAACAAAAGTCCCAGGAAGTTTCCTTTCATTCCTGTTCCTTCTCGTTTGCTCATTTTTCTTTTCTTTAATAGCAGCTAAGTCATCTGCCAACCAGGTCCCTATGAATGGTAGAGAGCCAAAAGCTTGTTAAAAATTCCATTGGCTGATAGGTCCGCCTGGTTCCCTGGCTCTAATTTCCACTCTTGCCAGGGTGCAGACAGAGCTGCGTGAAGCCAGCAGGGAAAAACCTGTGTGCAAAATTGCTGCTACCACGTGGACACGCCCCCTCAGGCTCTTCCTTGTTAGCCACAGTGCTAGATAATAAATATATTCAACTTTGGAGACATCGCAGCTGTTTTTCCCACGCGGCATCCTAAGGGCACTTGCTGGCTCGTTTCCATACGGTTAGCACTAGTGCTGGACAACAGTAAAGGAAAACAAAAGAAGGAAGAAGGGAGCTCCTGTTGGGTACATACGGCGAAGTACAAAGTCACATGTGGGCACTACTGTTAGCTTGGGGACATAGAAATTGCTACCCCGTTGTTTCTTGGCAAGTGTCCCTATTGGTTGGCCCAATATTTGGCTCATGGGTGTTTTAACCAGACGTTCCCTTACTGCTGTTGCCAAGGGATGGTATTTACACATTTTTCAATCAAGTTTGGGCCTTAATATGACAGCCTATGTGTCACCATCATTGCCAGTCCTTTTCCTCATTGCCATGTACATGTGGGATTTAGAAGAGTTTTGCTTTTTTCTTCATGTCATTGCGTCTCCAAAGAGGTAACTTGTCAAACTCCTGAATGGACATTCCGAAGATTTCTCGAAACACTTCTGGGGCTAAGTGGCGCTGGGAAGAGAGAAAAGAGCATTGGTGAGAGTTGATGGTCACATGATGTCCTTGAAGGCTGCTCACCATGTCGAAGAGCAAGACAGAATGATGGGAGAGGAGTTGACCTTGGAGACCTGTTAACAGACACAGGATGCTGTGTTCTGTACCTCGTCCGGCCAGGTGAGGCACCCTCTCTATCAGATGAAAGAGCTGGCTGGCTATTACATAGTATTATTATAACAATACTGAACAGTGACAGGGCATGGGAAGGTGATTCATTATGCTAGAGGTGACTCCACTTCAGGTCCTTGGGATGCTGAGAAGATACAGTGAAAATGGACCATGGCAACAGAAAACCAAAGAGGAAGACCTCCCGAGGGGTCCTTGGGAAGTCTGAGGGCTTCCTCCTGGCTCAGCATCAGGAGGTAAGGTGGATGCCTGGTCTACCTGGGAGGCCTCCCATCTGTCACTGCTCCTTGAAAAGTCCCCTTAAGATACTAGAGCCTTTATTCTCGGTGCCAGTCTGACATCTTATACAAAGGTACTGACTTTGTCAGGGAAGAGTAATGACTCTGAGACTAGCAGTCAGAGTTTTTCATTAAAATCCTTTAGATGGAAAAGGACAAAGATTGGTCTCCTGGGTCTAAGGAAGCCTTGGGTCTGTGTACCCAGATCCCTAATGAGGAATGTGGAAACAGCCAAGAAAGAAATGTGACTCGTATAAATCTTTCTTGAGAGCTCCAACCCCCTTTTCTCAATGAACTCAACCCAAGCTGGTGGAAGACAAGGACCTGGGGGTATCTGAAGAGGGACCGAGACTCGCGTTCCACATGATCAGCCAAAATGACGGTGCTATCAGATTGTCATAGTCAAAGAAAAGGACTAAAGTCACACTGAGTTGGGGCCAACAGGCGGTGTAGTGGTTGTGGCAGGGACTCCAACATAGCTGACCAGTTTGAGTCCCAGACCTAGAGGCTTGAAAATCATGCTAGATGTGTGTGCGCATGCCCCAAATCCCAGGCGCAGAATGGAGGAGAAGGGATTGTGCAGTGGCCATACCATTCCGTCCCCTAGGGGTGATTTCTCACTTTCCCTTTCACTGTCTCTCTCTGGCAAATGCCAAAACGAAACAAAAATCATACTGTGTCTCCTGGGTTATTCTTCTTCTGGATATTACCAGGAATTTTTAAGGCCGTTCTAAGGGTGAATTTGGATTTTCCCCGAAGTTACCTTTTAGTTCAGTATATAACATAGATTACCATCTATCTATCTATCTATCTATCTATCTATCTATCTATCTATCTATCTATCTATCTATCTATCTATCATCGAAGGAATAAAACATTTGTTAGGGGAAACTTGGGGAGGAATGCAGTTGGGACTGGTTTTTGTTTTTTACCTCCAGCCTGGTTCTATCCACGTCCCTTAAGATTTTGTTGCGCCCTCTGTTGGTCACCATGAGCATTTCATATGGGAATATCTGAGAAGAAAAGAAAACACCTCTTCTAGAACACTGCCGTCCATTTATGTTAACAAGAAGAATTCACCATGAATCTAGTATGGGTCCTCCACAGGGCAAGGCAGGCTTGGAGGCAGTGTTCTGGCAACTGATATGCTGCAGCAGCCCTTGTTATGGTCCCAGGGAGCACAGCCCTTAGACATCTCTGAAGGTACAGGGTGTTCTGGAGTTACAGCGCCCAGCCACACCAGTTTGCCTGGAACTGAAGAGGTTCCTGGAATGTAAGACTTTCTGTGCTAAAACTGGCAAAGTCCTGGCAAACTACGACATGCTGCTCTCCCTGGCAGCTCCTGACTGCTCCACTCAGTGTGAGCTAAACCTTGTAAGGCACATGACAGGAGCCTAAGTATTTAATGCCTAGGTCATTGGGAAAATACTTCACCATGGACACAGGGCACCACCTCACATGAGGGCTTAACCCTGCTGACTTGCCATTCCACTAGTGGCCAACGGTGGAACCGCCAGGTGCTTTATGAAGGTACTGGCCTTCACCAAAGTGGGCCTCAACATTCTGAGAATGGCGAAAAGGCAGAAAACTTTTATTTTTTTAATTTAATTTTTTTAGGGCCATGTCATCCCCTAGAGAAGAGAAAAGAGAAGAACAGCTGCACTTGCCTTTGGTTCCAACATGTTGGGCATGGACACGCCACGGTCCATCCTCATGGCAGGCATGTGGCCATCCGGGAGGGTCTACAACAGAAATGCTGGTCAGGCAGGAGCGCAGAGGGGCATGAGGAACTGGAGGGATCCCGGTGGGCTCCCTGGATCCCTATGGGCTTCCTGGATCCCTGCAGGATCTTGAAACCTCCCTGCCATTTTACAGATCTTAATCACCATGTATTTTTCAAAATATGACCCTTGCTGAATAAAAGCAGGATTACTACTCTCTTGTAGTTGACTTGGATAAAGATCTTGGCTTCGGACTCATTCTTGAATTTAGTTTCTAAGGATGGACGTACACAGTGTATTCTTTAAAATGCCCAAGTCTAGGATTGTTATTTTCTTATTTTTAATTTAACATTTCTTTTCATGTTGCCCCATTTTTCTCAGTCACCATCACAGATTTGCAAGATTCAGCCTCTAGTGAAAAAGAAATGGTGAAAGTAAACTGTTTCTTCCTATTGGCCAAAATAGGAGTTGCTTTTCACCGGGGAACAGGCACGAAAAGCGAGGACTCAAGTACTGAGAAGCTGTAACTGGGCACAGAAACAGCTGTACATGAGCAGACCCTTACTTCCATCCAGAGGGGACTCTCCAAGGCCCAGATCACGTCCTCCCACACCTGGTCTGGCTCACACCACATCCCCAAGGCCTGGAGGGACAGCGTGACCCAGGCATGAGGCATCCCCACTCTTCATGGCTGTGGACTGTTGATTAGGTAGATCAACACCACAACTATTTTCAGAACAGAAACCATTTCCTGGGGGCAGCCTCTGGTTGGAAAACAGCTGTTCCACTGGTGTGGCCAGCTTGCGACTGAAGACAAAGGATTCCGTACCTGGTAATCTGAAAAGGAAAGGAGGAGAAGGATCATAAGGGAAAGACCATGGAAACATGTGGAAAAACAAGGAACCATTAACAGAGAGATTATACTCTATTGAAATTCCCCAAATCTTGCCTATGGACCCCGTTCTCTCCCTGCTCCCAGTTCTGCAAAGGCCTTCCATCGCTCCCCACCTGCCAAAGCCAGGAAACTCTGGCTTCAGTTTGAGTCGTCAGATAAAACCTTCTTTTCTCCTGGATGCGTTCCCCAACAACTGGAAGGTGCTGGCTCTTTCTGTCTGCATCTCGGGTCATGGCACTCATCACACAGAGCTTCTCCCTCTCTGTCTCTCTCTCTCCCCCTAACTGTATGCATTTTTCAAAACCTTGTTTAGGCCCAGCCTAGTGGCACAGTCAGTAACAAACTGAACTGCTGTATTAAAAGCCGTGTGGCTGACTGTGGGTTCAGAACCCCTGGCTGGTTTTGAAAACATGCTGGATGCATGGGTTCTTAAGATCTTGAGCTGGAGGGCCCCAGGAAGGAGACTACAGCATGCTGACACCCTGTCAAGAGTGCTTCACTCTCTCTTTCTCTCTGATACACACGTACTTACTCTCTGTCGTGAATAATATTAACTTAAAAATATTTTTTAAATAGTTATTTACTTCTTCCTTGAGAGAGACATAGACACAGAGTACCAGGGATCTCCCACAGGGTCTTTATCCTATGATCTGCTCCCAGCTTCAGCAAACCTGGATCATGAGCATGTGTGCATGCATCCAGCATGCACAGGGAGGCCTGGGGACTCAAACCCATGACCTTCTCATGTGGGTCAGCACTGTACAGCTTTGTGTTACTGCTGTATCACTTGCTGGGTCCTGCCATATGCGTTTTTGTTGTTGTTGTTTATTTAGTTATTTCTTCCATGAATGAGAGACACAGAGAGTGAGAGACAGCGCCTCAGCCTTGTCTTGCCATCACGAGCTCCCAACTTCAGCCAGCCCTGGGTCACGGACACATGCCCACCTGGCATACTCAGGGAGGTCTCTGAGGGAGACTTAGAACCTTCCTCTGTGGGTCGGCCTTGCAGAGCATCACACTTCACCCCAGTGCCACTGTCTCCGGATGCCTTTGGAGGACAGGGGCCATGTCTCACTCTTGGCTGCGCCCCTATCTAGGAGGGAGAGTGGCCAGTGCTCTGCTCAGCACTCGGCACTGTGCTCAGGGCTAAGAGTGTGCTCAGAGTAAGAGCACTAGATGGATTCTTACACACTCACTTCTCGTGGTTTTATTTCATTAGAGATCTCGTGAGATTTTTAATAATTGCTCCGCTAGCTCAGAGAAGAGAACTGGGACTCTACAAACACACAATACCGCATGAACACAGCCCATATACTTGTGATCACACGGTCTCTCGTGAACTGCGGCCGTGAGGGAACTGCAGCCACAGGCAGCCCGGCAATGGGAGTCTCACCTCGCACTCCTCCGCTGACATCCCCGTAGCTGTTATACTGGGCGAAGTCCGTAGAAACAGGCTAAAACAAGGAAAATAACATCAATGTAAAGTCTCCCGAGTGACTATTTTGGAGTCAGATGAAAAGGAAGAATGGATTGACGATATCCTAAGAATTCTTCTCAAGCTAAATTTCTGAACGTTCATTATTTTTCTATTTATTTTCTACTACTATGACATTCTCTTTGTCCTCTGTAGTACACCCAATGCCACGAACCAGCAGGCTGTTAGCAAGAACGCATCTCTTACAAATAGACGTACATTTCCCTTCTGGTTACGCAGTTACATTCGTTCCATGCTTTCTGCCAAGGGTGATGCACCAGACACTCTTACAACACTTCACAGGAGAGGTAAGAGCTCAAGTAATTACTTTTTGCTTCATTGTGACAATATCTGCCACAATTACTTAGTCTCCCCTTAAACTTACACAGGCCATTCTTTGATATAAAGTGGATTTCTCCCTCCCTCAATGGAAGAAACATTGTGTTTTGCCTGTAACTCTAAACGATTTACCAGGTAATGGGGATCACACGGTTCCTTACATTTTAACACGCAGACCAGACCGAGGGTCAGAGGTACTCACAAATACAATGGACTGAAGAGATTTCTTACCCGGTGAAGCCCATTTTTCCCGTAACCAGGGAGAGATGAAGTTTTAGATGACGGAGCATGTGAAGCTGAATGAGAAAAAGGTAAAGAAGCAATCGTTATGGAACCGCAAGTCCACTTCTTTAATGAAACTGCCAGTATCTTCTACCTTGTAGAAGATTTAGAAAAAAGAATTCAAATCATATCAGACTCAACTGTTCACAAAAATGCCTCCACATTTGGGTGATACAGGGGGTGAGTGGAAACTTCTTTTCTTTTCTTTCTTTTTTTTTTAAAGAGAGAGATTTTTGCTATAGGCCATGTGTGCTCATGGAGAGACAGACAGAAAGCAAAAAATCACCCCCTCCAAGCAACGTGGCTGTGCCACAATCCCTTCTCTTCCATTCTCCCCTCGGGATCTTGGGCATGTATGCACACACATGCACCCAGCGTGAGTTTTAAGTCATCAGGTCTGGGACTCGAACCACAGTTGACCATGTGGGAATTCAGGGACGTAACCATTACTCCATCTGCTGGTCCTGAACACTGATGATTTTACTTAAGTGCAAAGAGAGAAACATGGACAGTTCAGCTAGGCTGAAGGCAGCTGTACTTACTGGAATCCCAGCATGTCCTTCCACGCTTGGCATGCTCTACCTTCTGAATCCTCAACACAACCCCAATATCACTACTATCATTTCCACAGAAGAAAGAGGGGATACGGGAAGTACCCTGCCAGAGAGCACTCAGCTTATAAACAGCTGAGCATGGATTTGGACTGGGATATCTGGGCTCTCTGAGCATGTAAGCCTATGCTCCAGCTGATGAGGCAGTAGTAACTGGCTAGAAGTCAGCCATTAAAGTTATCAACAGCTACTGGTCAACCATGGTTGTACTCCTGGGGGCCCTGGTATTAGGTATCATCTGTCCACACATAGAGGCCTCACAGATTGCTGGGCTCTGGACGGAGTCTATCTAGGTTTAAATTCTTTTTTTTTTTTTTTTTTAGATTTTTACCACAGGGAGCGTGTACTTTCTGGAGAGAGGCAGAGACAGACAGAGAAAGAGGAAAAGTGAGAAATTACCCCAGACGGGGATGGCTACGCTGCAATCCCTTCTCCATTCTCCTCCCCTGATTTTGGGCGCACACACATACAAGCCCAGTGTGTTCTTTTTCTGTGTGTGTGTGTGTGTGTGTGAAATTTTTGCCATAGGATGTGTGCACTCACCAGAGTGATAGAAAGTGAGAAAGCCACACCAATATCTCTTCTCCTCCACTCCCCTCTCTGGATTTTGGGCACACCCACACATGTGCCCAACATGAGTTTCAAGCTGCCAGGGCCAGGACTTGGACCGTGGTTAACTACATGGGAGTCCAGTGCTTTAACCACGATGCCACCTGCTGGCCCCATATGTTTCTCAAGCTGACGGGCCCAAGGCTCAAACCATGGAGTTAGACATGTAGGATCCAACAGCCTTAACCACCACACCCCCTGCTGGCCCATGGCCAAATGCCTGTTCTGCAACCTAACACCTCAGCATCTTTGGACATGGGAATTAATCTTTATGATGTCCTTATTTCTTGACCAATATAGTATTATATATCCCTACAGCCAGAATCTCGGAATTGCAAGGAACTCGAAAGATCTGTAAACCACCCGATTGAAGATCAATGCCAATGAGATATATGAGAGAGACAGGGGGGTCTAAGAGTGTGGGCTCTGAGGTTATAATCTTGGGATTCCTAAATCCTAGTTTTGTAATCTATTAGGAATTTGACAGTAGGTAAGTTATGTAAACTTCCTACACGTGTCTCCTGCTCTACGAATGGGGATGTTACTGCTGACCGTAACGTCGACCTCATAGCTGTGTTGTGCAGATGAAATGAAATGGCAAAAGTGCCTGTATGTAGTAAACATGCAATACATTTTATTAAAAAAGACAGGCTCAGGACCAGCGGATGGCATAATGGTTGTGTCGCTGGACTCCCACATAGTCAATCACAGTTTGAGTCCCAGACCCGGCAGCTTAAAACTCACACTGGACGTGTGCACATGCATGCCCAAAACCCCAAGAGGAGAATGGAGAAGGGACTGAGACATGGCCATCTCTCCGTGCATGGGGTGGGGGTGATTTCTCACTTTGTCTGTCTGTCTATCTCTGTCTGTCTCTCTGGCGAGTGCAGGCGCCCTATAGCAAAAATCTAAAAAAAGAAAAAAACAATGGAGAAGATAGGCTTCTGTCTATCTCTTACAACCCTCCTACCTTGTCTCTTGAGTAGCTGAGACCACAGAGGTATGCCACTATACCTGGCTTTTCAGACAGGGTCTTGCTCTATTGCCCAAGCCATCCTGGAACTTGTGATCCTCCTGCCTCAGCCTCACTGAGTCTCTAGGATTACAGACACTGCACCTAGCCTTGTAGGTTGGACTGGGAAACAAACCCACCCTCCAACTTGAGGTCCTCTAAGGACTCCTCCAGGAGAAACATTTAAGGAAGGACCATGACATGCTTCCAGCTAAGTGGACAGGAAGTCGGTATCCCATACCCCCCTCCCTGCAGAACACTCAGAGCTTCCCCCACAAGCAGTCTGGCCTCCTCTGCCCAGTCAAGTAGGCCCCTTGCAGGCAGGAGCAAGTAGCTGGCTCTTGGCCAGGGAAGGCGGGTGTCTGCTGCTCACCTGAGATGATGGGAGAATCGTAGCGACTGGCTGACAGGGATGACCTTTCCCGGCTCTCCTTCTCCATCTCTTCTTTCAATATCAACTGCCCCAAGCCTGAGTTAAGCTATTTGCAGAAAAAAAAAGAAAAAGGAAAGCAAAACCTGCAGTCACTTTCATGGAGCTGTAGTATCTTTGAGAAGATCCTGCAAGAAGTTCCTGACTCTGGAGGGCCTGGGTGCATGTGGTCCCAGCGCCTGGTGATTCCTCAAGATGTAGACAAGGCTTTGGGCCCTAAGTTGCTCTTGGCCTCAGTGTTGAAGCTCCATGTCCCTAAGCCAGGCTGTGTGTCAGAAGAATGTTCTCCATCCTCTGTCCTCCCCCAAAGTGCCAGCAAATGCCCTCAGGAGGCATGTGTGAGTATGTGTGGACTTCTTGATGTGGGACGGGGAGATCAGGGATGGTACCCTTTGAAAAGAAATTGCAATGATTTGCTTAAACACAAGGGAAAAAATGTAATACATACTTGTACAGATTTTGGAAAATCTACAAGGAAAGAAGAGTAACCCACAATCTCCCACTCAGAGATACTACCATTTATATGGAGATTTCTATCTAACCAGTGCTTTTCTTTTTTTTTAATAATTATTTTTATTTAATTTTTATTTATTCATTCCATTTATTTTTTAATTTGACCAGAGAGAGACACAGAAAGAGACAGAGAGAGAAAGCAAGCTGCCAGGTCTGGGACTTGAACCATGGTCAGCCATGTGGGAGTGTCCCCTGGTGATTCCTCAAGATGTAGACAAGGCTTTGGGCCCTAAGTTGCTCTTGGCCTCAGTGTTGAAGCTCCATGTCCCTAAGCCAGGCTGTGTGTCAGAAGAATGTTCTCCATCCTCTGTCCTCCCCCAAAGTGCCAGCAAATGCCCTCAGGAGGCATGTGTGAGTATGTGTGGACTTCTTGATGTGGGACGGGGAGATCAGGGATGGTACCCTTTGAAAAGAAATTGCAATGATTTGCTTAAACACAAGGGAAAAAATGTAATACATACTTGTACAGATTTTGGAAAATCTACAAGGAAAGAAGAGTAACCCACAATCTCCCACTCAGAGATACTACCATTTATATGGAGATTTCTATCTAACCAGTGCTTTTCTTTTTTTTTAATAATTATTTTTATTTAATTTTTATTTATTCATTCCATTTATTTTTTAATTTGACCAGAGAGAGACACAGAAAGAGACAGAGAGAGAAAGCAAGCTGCCAGGTCTGGGACTTGAACCATGGTCAGCCATGTGGGAGTGTCCAGCGCCTTAACCTCCATACCACCTGCTGATCCCCTATCCAATGCTTTTCTATTCACATATTACACAAAGTCAGGGTCATACTATAAATGCAAACTTGGTAACCTTTCCCCCATATAACTAATGTCAGGTGTGTTTCCCATATCTTTGGAAAACATCATTTCAGGAGATTCAACAGCTCCTTATTGGTGGGGAAATTTATAATTGGCTGTCCTTCTGGGATGCTGTGGGCCCTTGCTAGAGGAGGGAGGGTATGAGGAAGTCCTCATGGGGGCAGTCCCTTTAACCCTTTCTTCCTGGCTGAGATACAAGATCCTATGAGTCCCATGAGCTGGAGAAAGGCTCAATCCCAGGGGAATTCCTTCAGCAGAGCCTGCATGAGGGAGCACCTGGGTACATACCACCTTGCTCTCCCCGGCCCTTCTGCAATCCTTTTAATGTGCATACCTGCACACCCCCCACACGTTCTGGCTCTCCTCGAGAAAGCCCGACCAGTCCACATCCCTCTCTGACCTCTAACCTCAACGCCATCTCCTCCAGAACCCACCGTGTATTCTGCCACATTGGAGGTGCTAGATGCCTGTCTTCATCTCCCCTACCAGCCTACCAGCCCCTTCAAGGCTGGGACCGCCACTTGCTCATCTTGGTGACTCACACACTGTAGTCATTCAAACAGTACAGATCTTACGGAACTAGAATGGAAGACAGCAGCAAGGTACTTTAAGGACAAACCTTCATTAATTGCTCTTCTTGAAGCTGCCGGCGTCTCAGAAGTTCCTCATCATCTTCCTCTCTGCCACTAGATCTGCGTCTTGTGTCAGTTCCTAATTCCACAGCAAAGACAACTTCTCACATCAGCCCCACGACAAGAGAATCTTAGCGGACTAGTCCATCTGTGTTCGATTTGTTAGGCTGGCAAGGTCAGTTGCAGTCTTGAACATTTTTAAATGAACCACGCAAGGGAAAAAGGACGCCTGCCACCAGTCCAGCACTACTGGCTGGTTTCTCAAGGAAGACGGGGCCCCTTGGACAAACTGGTTATATGTGTGATGAAAGGAAAGTGTGAATTTTTGCCTCCCAAGAGACTGCTCAATTGAAACCGGGCTTGCTGTTGGAATTAAGTCCCAGTCACCCTACTAACCACGGGCCCAGAGTTCCCTGTAGTGACCGGGAAGGGCATCTCTAGTTATTATAATGATGTCCCTACGTTCAGTTTGCAACTAGACAGAAACCCAAATTTATACATTAATCCATACCGACAAATAGGTAAGCTTAGAACCTTGTTTTTTCAAATCTTACAGGTATTTAAATATTAGTTTTCTCTTTTTCTGAATATTTAGCCTTTCATAATATTATTACTGTTCAAATATAACGAGCATTCAAAAGGATGCTCGTTATATTTCTTTCAAGGGATGGGCCTTAATGTTTCCTGTATCTCATCCTTAGAAAAATGGTCTCAGAAGAGTAATAAACCAATCGATAAATAAAAACAGTGCTAACACAACTAAGAAGGTACTTACTTTGGAACAATAGCAAATCATGTGTAATGTTTAAGCTTCCTGGAAAAGGGGAGGAAGGTCATGGAAAGGAGGTATCTGTATGAATGATTGGAAGATTAAGATAATTGTATTTCCTAAATTGCTTTGATTAATCTGGATTTTGGGGGAAATGGGGAAAGTCTGCTAATCTAATCAAAATAAACTTTAATGAATATTCTTAGTTTTTATTATTTTGATGAACAGAACAGATGTTTTCCTCATTTTGGAACCCAAAGAAACTTTAAATTCTTTAGTGATGATAGTTTCAACAATAAAAATTTTATTTTCCCTCTCTCCAAATGTTTAGCCTCCGTCATGTCCCAGCTAAGTGACATAACTGAACTAAGACCCTCAAGGGCCCCAAGAACTTCTTGAGGGGCTTAGATTAGCAGACAAAAGCTGGTGAGTGAGTCTTAGTTCTTAAGATTATAAATGTCAGTGTCAATTTTCTCTCTTTAAGTTACATGAATAAAAAATTAATAGACGCAAGTTTGCAGGAATTTGATAAATCTTGTCAACATAAAATACAAAATACGTGTGAGTAGTAAATGGGTGAAGTAGATTTTCCTTCAGTGATTCCTATAAATACCAATTGCTTTAAAATCCATTTATATTGCCTGTAAAATTTATTCCAGAGATAGGTTGATGAAAAATAGCACGTTGATAGGGATTAGGACATTTTGGAAAATTGAAGGCCTTTCAGGTTGTCAAATGAAATATAAGGTAGACACATCTTCATAAGGCTGACTTGCTAAATTTTCAGTATCAGCTTCAGGTTTGCTAAATATCTCTTTTTAGGCTGAGTGACTTCACTCCTAACAAAACAGTAAAGACAGAGACACAATCCATAGCACAAAGCAAAGAATGAAACAGCTCAGATGTGACATTTTAGCACAGGATTCATGGAAATGACAGATGTAAAATCACATAACTTCACACAAGCAATGTTTCAGAATATCCGTTACTCCATGACAGCGGTTCTTAGTAATGGAGAACATGGCTCCGAGAGGAAAAGTGAAAGTGCTCCATATTAAGACTAGAATTGTTAAGAGAATTGTAGCTATAACCCAGAAACAGTCTAAAACAATTTTAACTGGAAGAAGCCATGTGTCTATGGACACTTGCTAAATTTATCTACTAGACTCTCATGTAGCACAATGTTCTCACCATGATGCTTTGAGTCAACTGTGCTTAAAAAAAAAAAAAAGTTACTGGTTTTACAGTAACAATTTACAAAGTCCATGCAAACCATCCATTTTAGACCACAAAAAAGTTACTGGTTTTACAGTAACAATTTAGAAAGTCCATGCAAACCATCTGTTTTAGACCAGTTCTGGATCTCAGTGGTTTGGTTAGAGCAAGTCTCTGGAAGATGAGTTTTTATAACTTTTAAACACTTTGTACACACATTAATACCAAATTAGGTTTTTTTCAATGTCCTACCTCTCGGTCATACTTTTCTTAAAAATCTTTATCATTGGATACATTTTCTTGAGTGTTTTCAAACATTTTGTCTTGAGATTGCCTAGCACTTTTTAACACTGGACTTATTTGCATACCTACGGCGGCAAGTGAGGGGGGACCAGGCCAGTGGTCCGTTTCAATCTTTGGTATCTCGCTGGGGTCTGGAGCCTGGGCTGCTGGGAACTTGGAAAACTTGATGATATCTTCTGAAGACTTGCTCTGGGCTGCCAAGGCAGCTGCATCTAGATGGGAATCAGGGGTTGCTTAGCTATTGGTCTGTACGCCGAGGGTGCTACAACCCCACTTATGTCGTTTCCTTGTTCTTTGGCAAAAGTTCCAATATCAGACAGTTTCATTATCACCATACTGATTTCTCACTCACTCAGCAGCGCCTAGTGACTGCCCAGCTCATTCTTACTTTATGTCAGAAGCCAATCTTCATCCTACATCTGCGCTCCATCTGCAAAACCTTGTTCTAGAGTTGTGCTAATACTAGCTCCATGTGGCTATTTAAATGTAAAGAAATAAAATGAAATAAAGCAAAACATTCATAAAATTAAAGTTCAGATCCCTGGTTGCACTAGCTGTATTTCAAGTGCCCAATGGTCACATGTGACTAGGGACCACTATATTGGACAGTGCAGCTATAGAACATTTCCATCACCATAGAAAAATCCATGGGATAATCCTCTCAGGAAATAATTAGAAATTTGAATTAGTAATTTGAAATTAAAGAGCTAAGTTAAGAGGCTGTTGTTTCACTGAAGTTGTTGACCATTAGAGGGTTGGCTGGCTTCGTATCTTTAGGCAAAAAGCCACAAACAGATTGGTTTAGTTCATTTGAATCCTTATACACTCTACATATTAATATGTCCTTGAGTCCTAAAAACATGGGCATGGGAAGATCCACGTGTAGCTTGCAGGAATTTAGCATTAGGACTTGTGTTTTGCTATATGCACTCATTGTTCTGTTCAAGGATCTGTATATATAAATGAGTCACCCAGCTTTAAAACAACAAAAGTCAAACTAGCAGTAACATTAGCTCACAAAGTTCTTCATGGCTCCGATTAGAGGAGGAGTCACTGGCTTAGAGCCCTGGATCTAATCACAGAGATAGTATCAAACAAATCAGGATAAATGGTCAATCCTGATTTGGACTAATTTTGCAAATTAGCCTGAAATTTTGCTAAACATTTCAAAATATAGTTGTAATGCTTTAGTAAAAGCTTTTTTATTTTCTTCTACTGGGCTCACACATTTTAAAATCTGGGAATCACCCTCTGAATCTTCAACTCCTATTCTCCTATTCCTCCAGTAATCTTCTGAGTCTTAATTTACTTACATGCCTGGACCAAGGTCACCCAGTAATAAGGATGAAGTCTTAGCCAGGCATGGAACAGTGTTTCTCTGACTCTCACCTCATAAGAGAAAAAGCTCAGCTTGGAAAACACTATCTACTAAGTCCCCCTTCTTAAAGATGGACAAAATGTGGTAGTTTGTAAAAAATGGAGACTTCCACGTTACTAAAAAAGTATGGCTGCATTTAAATCTAGCATTGTCCAGCTATGTCAGGGCACAGACTCCAGTTCGGAGCATCCATTTCTCTGGCTTGGAACAGCTGTTTTGCCGCATGTCCACTGGCCAGTGCTGCTCTGGTTGTGCTACTCTTCATTACAACAGACTAAAAGTAGAGACCTCGGCAAAGTACACAGAAAAAGAAGCCAACTAATTCCTTTCAAATAAATAAACTAACATTATCCGATCTCCTTACATCTTAGTTAGTTGATTAGTTTTGTTTAGAGAATCAGGGCCTAGAAATCTTCACATTTAAAATAGTTTCTTAAGTTACTAAATCAAACTCTGAGAATCGTATTCTTCTGTTAAAAAAGAAAAAAAAGCAAGACTTCAAAGAGTACTTACGCATTAGAATTGGTGAAGTCAGTAGTTAAACATTCACATGTTAATGAGTGTGTGGGAAAACATTAAACCATAAAAAACAAAAACAGAAACAAAAGCAACGTTAACAAAATTAAAAGCAAGTGAATGTGTAAAGCCTTAAAAAAAAAGATGAGGAAAAAAATCATAGAACTAGAACCATTACAATACATATTTTCTCTTGGCCTAACGTTTTCTTTTTTTTCCTTGTGCATTTTTCATCTTCATTTGCTTTTGTCATAGCATTCTAATTCTGTAGGACTCACTCATGTCAACTACATTCTAAATGCAGCCTTCAAATTTCCAAGTACAATTTGTATATAATTCTCTGAAATCAGATGAAGATCAGTTTCTTTTAGCTTTCTATTTATCCACAAAGCCTCTTGGCAGATGAATCTACATGGACCTGAACATAGGGCGGGGGAGGGGCTGTGTGATTTACATAAAGTAATATGATTTCCTGGGTCAAAAAAATCTATATTCCCAGAAAATGAAAACACAATTTTAAATCCACTTTAGTGATTCTTAGCTTGCAGGAATTTCAGAGACAAACGTATCTGACTGGTTTTTACAGATGAAAAGCCTGAGATATTACATCTATGATGCCACAGAATCTTTTAAATAGACAGTGGGACAAGGGTCACAACTTCTATTTCAACTTGTGTCCTGTCCACTCTAAAATGCAGCAAACTACACACCTCTTAGGAAACTGGGGAGCTGGGTAGTCAAATCAATGTTGGCTGAGTCAAATGAATTTTTCTAGGTGGTTGATTTTCACTAGTTTTAACTAGTTAAACTAATTGCAAACTCATCAAAATTATTTTAGAGATTGGTTAAATTATTTGATGGCCAAAAAAAAAGGCCTCATTAAGATGTTTATTGTGTGACCTGTACATCCCCTAGTCTGTGAGTGGGATGGTACATGGTTTGATGGGTTAGAAACGAGTTAGAAGCTTCCTAATCAAGCTAAGTGTTTTCCATCCAGAATAATCAAATTTACAATAATTCCATTTTAGGGGCCTGTAAAGGTATGATACGCTGGATGCCCCAGTTTGATTTTTAAAAGCAGCAGCAGAGTAGCCTTTCAGAAGACAGCAAAGAGAAGTTCAGTAGACTCTGCCATTTACAAGCTAAGCGGAGGAAAGCGGGTTTACCATGCTGTTTGTAGATGGGTGGTTTTCGGTAAATGTTGATTCCTTGATCTGTGGAAATGAAAAGCAAAGGTGTGTGATTATGGGAACCAGTTCAGTGATGGGAAAAACAGATCAATCAAGAGGGAAACCCAAGTGAACACTCTTGAATGAAAATCACTTTTGTATTACAAAGATTGAGTTTGTTGGAAGAAAAGATTCCAGACATGAGTGAATTACTATAGACAAGTGGTATGGAAGCCTTTGTAATACATCTTAAGATATACTGAGATGTAATTAATTCATGAGCCATTTATTTCAAATGCACACTTCACTGAAAGTGGGGTTAAGACAGGAAGAAATGCAAGCAGTGGACGCACTCTTACGGTGAGGAAGACATAACCAGTTTAGGGAGGACCCCCAACTTGCTACTGTCTAGAAATTGAGCTTCCAGTAGATACCAGAGGCTCAATTTACTTTTCAACTAATGAGTGGAACAGTGGAAAGCAATGTAGAAAAACTAAGTTTTTTTTTTTTTTTCCAAAACATAGAAACACGTTTTATACTCAAGGCTAACCCGATGTGCTGACAGGATGTTCAACAAAATCCTAATTTGTATAGGCCAAATTAAAAGAAAGAGAGAGAGAGAGAGAAAGAAAGGAAAAAAAAAAAAGAGAGATGCTAAATACTATTCACACATTTACACAGGACTTCATTTAATTATGCTACTATTTTACTTTAACTGTAAATACCTAGGAAATAGCAAAAGATTTCTGTTTTCCCAGAATCTTGAGTACTGTATCTTGGTGGGGTATTCTTCACATGAAAAATCACAAATGTAGAACATTGATTTGAGGATTCAATAAAACTCTTAAAAAAGGGCAGTCCTGGCTTAGTGGTATGAAGATCAGTAACTTTCCTGTCTGCTTAGGTAAGTTTAGAATGCAAAAAAAATTGTTTTAAATAATTAAAGATTCCAAATATGAATCCTTACATCAACATAATGGGCTAATTTATTAAACTACTTTCAGTATGTAAAAGAAGCCAAATAGTATACTTCCGATGGAAAAATAATGTGACCAGTGATGTTCATCCTGCCCTTACAAACTGAGCTGACTCTCAACATTAAGATATTGGTGGGTTCTGATTTTTCTAGTTCCTGAAGGTAAATCACAATTTGTACTGTGACAGCAAGTGCTTGTGACCACTAGAGCAAAGCTTGAAGCACCAGGCCTAAATTGCAAGATGTCTTTGTGGGTTGTAGAGGTGGCTAGTTAGTTATGCCCTGCAGAAAGACCACCCAGTTGACCCAATTTTAAACCTTCCTGAAAAGAAACGTTCATGAAAAGAATCTCCGCATTGGAGACAAACAGAAAAATATGCTCAGGGGACACTGTGGTTTAATCTTTAGGATTTAAAAAATAACTAGACTGCCATTATAAAAATCTAAGACAACAAACCACAGAGTAATAATCACAGAAAACACTTCTTTAAAGGTAAAATAAAAAATTTTAATCAAAAACTGTATGATTCAACTCTTCTCTTCTACCCTGTCTCCCACCATCTTCCAAAGAATTTGACAAAATGTAAACCTTTAATATAATTATCCTGGTATTTCATACATAAAGCTATTGCAAGGTCAGATCCTGCAATTTAGGGTTTGTCAACTGTGTGCATCCCAACTAAAAGAGCATGAGACATGGAGACAGACGAGGTTACAAGGCTACATTCTATACTGTGACAGGACACCAAGACAGACCGTGTCAGCTCCTACCTGGAACATGGAAATGTTTAGGGGCCTGAGCGTAAGTTGGAGTTAGAGGGCGGCTGTCTGGCCGGTAAGGGAGAGGGGAGTTTCGGCCGCTGGACGGCTCATTGCCTCCAATGAGAAGAATGGAGAAAACAAAATGAGAGAAGGGAAAGCAATAAAGAAAACAAAGCAAGCATAATAAAAATTCAAAACAACAAACTAGGAGGAGGTACATCAAAAAGGAGAAACAAAATAAACAAACTCAATTTATCAACTTGGTTGGCAAAGGTGACATCAAGTTTAATTTTCCAAAAGAGAGATTTGAGTTCAGGTGGAACTAGGTTAAAAGCAGCTAGCGGTTAAGATGCGTCATTCCAATGGCATGCGGTGGAAGGCTGTGAGCTAGCAGCAAACGTATTAGATGGAAATTACATTGGGAAGAATGGAAAGTCCTTGCTAATGACTGAAGATCAGTTGTCAAATGGTTAAATCCCAAGCATAAAAAGGGATGGGCTATGCAACCCCAAATACAATCATTTCCAGGCACGATGGCAGAGGCCAGCAAGCAGAATGTGTTTTCTGAGCAGAAGGCCAAGTCTGGGAACCTGTGTGGTCACCCAGTCCTTCCCCTTAGGAATACAAAATGCCTTCATTGCAGCATATGCTTCTGTCTTGCTTTGAAATACACAAAGAAAGAGGTAGTCCTCTTTCTGCCAGGTACCTTGGCACCACTTATACCTCCCTGTACCTTTTACTTCAGAGGTGAGGCTCCACCCAGACGAAAGATTCAATCGCTACAGCATTTACTGAACACCTACTATGGCTGAGCACTGAGCTACTCTGAGGATAAATAGGTGAATGAGATATAGTCCCTGTCCTCAAGGAGTTCAGAGTCTACCTAAAGAGATAGACTTAAGTCAAATATTCGTAATACCATGAAATTGCTTATTCAGAGGCATAAGAAACATGCTATGAAACTCAGCTGAAGGTGCCATCTTTCCTTCAGGAAAGCTATAGAGAAAAAAATGTTAGACTTGAGCTGGGCATTAAAGAGTAAGTTCACTAGGTTTGTGGACAGAGTAGGAAGGCCCATATTCCAGAGGGCTGGGACACCATTAGAAAGGAGGATGTGGAAGGACCGTAGTATGCAGGAGCAATGGGACTGGCCACTGTGCCTGGACAGCATGGTATTCTTGGAGGACAGAACAGGGATGACTTTGGAAAGGGTAGTTGAGGTTGGCTGCAAAAGGCTTCAGCACTGTCTAGCCACCATCACTCTTTCTGACCAGGAGAGCTGCAGGGGGAAACTGAGGTATGTGCTTAACTGGAAAGAGATTAGCTACTGCCCTAAATTGTCCTCCTATACCTTATCTGAGCAAACATCTCATTACAAGATGAAAATGAAAAATTGTCAAAAGTGAAGGAATTAGTGTTGCTAATTACTTTTAGCATTAAGATATGAGTTCTTTAGATATTCTGGATACATGTCCCTTATCAGTTATATGATTTGCAAATATTTTCTCCCATTTATAGGTTATCTTTTTACTTTTTTTTATGATGTCCTTTGAAATACAAAGACTTTTAATTTTGGTAAGTCCAATTTATTTATATATGAATGCACATACTTTTATCTTATTTATTCATTCATAAAGCAAGGTCTCATGGTATTGTGATCCTATCTCAGCCCTCCAACTGGGACTATAGGCACAAACCACCTTTAATGTTTTAGACAGAGTCTCACTAGGCCAGCCCAGGCCTGCTTTGAGCTCATTGTACTCCTGTCTCAGCCTCTTGAATTTTCTGAAAGTGTGTGCTATCATGACAGGCCTTTAGGTTGGATCAGAATCAAACTCAGACTTCTTATGTGGTCCCAGCCTGTGGAGCACAGCAGCTTAGAAGTGAGTGTCACTGTGCACAGTTGAGCCAATATTAATAATTTTAAATAAATTATGGATCATAAGAAAACAGAACTCTATCCAATTTCTTCAAATCCAACTGTCCTAAATCCAGCCAGCAAAGTATGAAAGAAGACAATAGCAAGGATTTTAAATATGTTGACTAGAACTTGAATTTCTTAATGTGTAGCATTTTAGATTACCAGAATACCAAGTGGGCAATAAGATATTCCCAGTATGGGTTCTGAATTTGTTACTAGGTCAAATTTGGATTCTAGGCTTTTGGTTACTGGTGTGCTGAAATTTTGTCTTTTTTCTTCAAGAGTCAGTTTCACATCTAGCTCCCAATATGTTAGGCTGGCTTGAATATTTATGAATATTTATGTCAGATTTTAACTTCTAAAAGAGTAAATCTAAACTACTCATCTATTAAAAACCTGTTTTATAACAATATGACCTCATTTCCTATCACCTTTCTAACGAGAAATAACTAGCTCATGACTGAAAACAGGTAGAGGCAAGTAGGAAAAGGAAGACTGATCTGCGTTTATAAGGAAATAGTGGTTTTGTTTTTTTTTTTGGAGAGGATTTTTTGCTATAGGGCACGTGCTCTCACCAGACAGACAGAGAGAGACAGAGAGACAGAAAGCGAGAAATCACCCCTCCAGGGGGGATGGTCACGCCGCAATCCCTTCTCCTCCATTCTCCTCTCGGGATCTTGGGCACGCACGCACACGTGCCCGGCGTGAGTTTTAAGCCACCGGGTCCGGGACGTGAACTGTGGTCGCCTACATGGGAGTCCAGCAACATAGCCATTACGCTAACTGCTGGTTCCCAGGAAATAGTGTTTTAAACCTATAACTGAATTAGAACCTGGTCTCATGCATCAGTAGTGTTCAGTTTGGTGCCTTGCCAGGAGTAAGTACTTAATAAATATCTGAATGAATGACTGAAGTAGGGCAGCCAATCAATTCCACACCTGCTTACTGGCTTAATTTAGTAAGCTCCATTACAGAGTTAACCATCGTTTTCCTCTGGTTTCTTAATTAAAGGAAGCCAGATGCTCGGATACAGCAATTGAATTACAACAGCATCCCCGTTAATATTTTTCCCATTAGGATTGGTTCTCAATAACTACAATTTAATTGTTTCACTTCAGGGAATAAAAACTTTACTGCTATAAATATTGGAAAATGATTAGCAAGAGTAATCCATAATTGAAAAATAGAATAATTTTATAGGCTTTTCTCAAAAGAATTTCTGGAGTCTCATCTTTTCTGCCTTAGTTTAGTTTCTTTTTTTTTTTCCTCAAAGATTCTTCCTGAGTATCCTGAACGCTGACAGCTTCTGCCTTTGAATAACACTGTTCCCTGCCTTTACTTCCTCGCCTCTACCGTCCTTGTAGAAGATCAGATATTTTAGGAAAAGTTCTCACAGGTTTTGGTTAGAATACCTAACGTTAAACATGTTTTGATAATTTTTAGCCAATGTCATGCACACAAAAACATCTGCATATGCGGGACACAAAGGCTTAGGATTTTTAGAAGTAGATGTTTGTCCAAGTATTAAAATCTATCAATAAGATTTTGTGCTGGCAAGTGGCAATAAAAGCCCATCACTTCTTGGATATGATCAAAGACTCAAAGACTAAGGAGTAAGCTATCTGCATTCCCAGTGGTGAACTCTGGCTGAATACTGCCATCGACTGGGTGTAGTTCTTTGTTTGGCTGAATCTCTTCAGCAATTATTAACCTCTCTAGTCATGCAAAATCAAAACTCCACTAGTATGTTCAAGTCTTTATAAGTAGAGTTAACTCTATAATCATTTAAAACTTCACATAAACATTGTAAAACACCAGGCAAAGACTGGTGCACACCCACTTCAGTGATTCTACACAGTGTAATGTTTGCACAAGGCACTGGAGAACAAGGTCTCAGAATAGATAATGATGCTATGTAACAAATCCTTAGCTCTTGAACTACCAAAGGTATTAAATTTCAAAAAAAAAAAATTACTTTTTTTTTGGAGAGGTTTTTGCTATAGGGTGTGTGCGCTCATCAGGAAGACAGAGAGACAGATAGAAAGCGAGAAATCACCCCACAAGGGGGATGGCCACACCACAATCCCTTCTCTTCCTTTCTCCTCTTGGGATCTTGGGCACACACACGCACACACATGCGCCCGACATGAGTTTAAGCCATTGGGTCCGGGACTCAAACCACCGTCAACTACATGGGAGTCCAGCAACATAGCCATTACGCCAATTGCTGGTCCCTAGATCTTATAGTTCTGAATTTGGACTCCTTTCCCTTTTCTAACTTAAATGCCCTGTCTTTAAATGATAAATAAGTTTAGCCCTATCCTGGCAGGAAATAACCAATGCAGATCTAGGAGGATTTTTGCTTAGTTCATTACTTAGGGAAAGTAATATATGAGGCTTTGGATAAAATATCATATTTTAAAGTTTTAAAAATTTATTTTCAAGAATTATTTTATTTAACTTTATTTTATTTTTATTTGACCAGATAGGGAGAGAGAGAGAGAACAAGCTGCCAGGGCCGGGACTGGAACCACGATCGGCCATGTGGGAGTCCAGCGCCTTTAACCACCATGCCACCTGCCAGCCCCATATTTTAAAGTTATTATTATTGTTATTATTAGCAAGGAATAAGATACCATTTAAAAAGAATACACTAGCACGCAGACATCATTGATGTTGCATATATCATAGTTATTTCATTCTGTCCCTTTAAGGAAGTCTTCTGATGGGGCCACTCTAAGTTGTTGGTCATCTTAACTACTGTGGTGACAAGCTACTAATTATTGGGTCGCATAGAAAAAAATACATCATGACTTTTTTGACAACCCAACATATTTATTTCTTGACCTTAATTTTTTGCTTTTTTCCTGGTTGACTAAGAAGCCAAATATATATTTTTTAATCTTTGGGAGATAATTCCCTTGCAGAACTTTTACTGTACTTATTAATGAATTCAACTACTTTGCCCTCACTTTCGTGACGAACTCTGACAAGTGACTAGAAACGGAAGTATACATTCCATGGTGGGAACCTGCTAGAACACAATCCTATTTTCTGGACTCCAATGGTGTTTTTTTTTTTTTTTTGAGAGGTTTTTGCTATAGGGCACGTGTGCTCGCCAGAGAGACAGAGACAGAGAGACAGAACGTGAGAAATCGCCCCCCCAGGGGGGATGACCATGCCGCTATCCCTC